TTATATAAGATATATATAAATATCTAATATATAGATACTAAGGAATCTAAAGAATAATAAAACGGATTAAACGATAATATAACTTCCTATAGCTTAAAGAAGTAGTATAATAAGTTATTAAAGAATATAAACTTTACGTATAAAGTAAAGCTAAACGATATAAACTATATAGAGAATTATAACTACTATTAGTACTAGAAAAACTATAGGATTCGATAGCTTTTAACTATATTATAAAGCTACTACTATTAAAAGAACCTATAACTAACGTTAAGTATAATAGTATATTCGTTATTACTAATAGACTAACGAAGTATAGATACTTCTTATTATATAAAGAAGTAAGTAATATAAAAGAGCTAGTATATATATTCCTACGAATAATTATTAGTAATTACGGACTACTAAATAAGATTATCTTTAATAGAGGAAGTATATTTATAGCTAAGTTTTAGTAAGCCCTTATAGTATAATTAGGGATAAAATATAAGCTTAGTATAGCTTATTACCTATAAATAGATAGATAAATAGAACAACTTAACTAAACGCTTAAATAATATTTACGATACTATATTAGCTATAAATAAAACGATTAAGTTAAATAGCTACTAATAGCGTAACTAGCTTATAATAGCTTAGTTATAGAAATAACTAAGCTCTTACTAGTATACGCTAATTACGGATATAACCTAAAAGTATTTAAGGTTACTCGATAAGGACTATAAGTAGAACGAGCGATACTATAAGTAGATTAGCTACGAAAATTATATAAAGAAATATAATAAGAACTTTAATTCGTTAAAGAACGAATATCTACTTACTATAATCGGAAAAGATTATAAGGACTAATCTTTTAAGAGGGAGATATAGTCTACCTTATATAACGAAATATTAAAATAAAACGACTAAGTAATAAATTAGATTTTAAGAAACTTAGACCGTTTAAGGTTAAGAAAACTATTTTAAAAGTTAACTACGAACTTTCGCTACTAATAATAATATAGATATACCTAATATTTTATATCTTATTATTAGAACTAGCGCTATAAAACGCTAAACTATAGGAAAAAATCGAAGTTAATAACGATTAAGAATATAAAGTAGAATAAATACTAGATATAAGAAAATAAGGTTAGTAATAAGAATACCTTATTAAGTAAAAGGGATACGGACTAGAGGAAAATACCTAGGAACTACTTAAGCACTTAACCTACTATAGCTCTTTACTTCGATAATTTTACTAGAAGGTTTAGGAGGGATTAAAGGACTAAGATCTATAAACTCCTTACTAATACTAAACGAGGACTAATTCGCCTTATTAAGAACGCCTAACGATTATAAATTATTTACTACCTAATACTTATATATATCGAGCGTAGGTAAAACGCTATCCTTAGTATCTACTTCTTAGATACTACGATAAAATAACTTAGAACTCTTTTCCTTCGCACGATTCCGAATCTTCTAGATATAAGCTAAACGATTAACGGCGATAGATATTTACGACTAAAGGTTTATAAGCTATGCCTAAAGCTCTAATAAGGCTTCCCTAGCTTCCTCCTCTTCGGAATATAGCCTATACTACTCCGCTAATAATTTAGTTACTAAAAGAAATACGTTAGCTACTATATATAGAAAGAATTAAAAGACACCTATAAGAAGAAGCTACTAAAATACTATTATAATAGGGACGACTACTAGCAATATAATTATTATAGCGCGAAGAATTTTCGGCTATCTAATAATTTATCTTCTTTGCCTTAAAGTATTAAGTATACGGTATATCGGTAGGATCTCTACTTAAGTCGATATATTTAGTAAGAGCAGCGCGCTTAGAGGCTTTTCGGGAACGATTTTTTAGTATACGACTAGATATACTATTAGTAGTATATCCCGAAAGAATAAAGAAATAAAGAACGATATACTTACGCACGACGCGATAAGGGTATATTTATATACGGCGGCTAAGGCAGCTATAGTAGGTCTTATAGATAAGACTAAAAGGAGGGGAGATATCGTATTACGACTATAGCTACTAGGCCACTAACGGTCGACCGCGTTAAGCACGTAATACGGTCTAACGGATAAATAGTTAGTACGACTATTTAATAGATATAGGATTAAGGGGATCGTAGAGATCTAAGTAATCTAGGATTAATAGGATTACTACGCTCTATGCGATCTAACGTTAGGGATTATAGCTAGGCCTATAATCTAAGGATAGTCTCTATAGGTATATATAGCTACCTACTTTTACTTCTTTAGATAGATAGCTCTCTAGCTTTTAATATAGATCTTTATTACGATTCTATCTTTAATTCTAATTACCTAGTTATAGTCTACGGTCTACGACCTCTAACTTATTACTAACGTAATATATATATTATTGCTTAGACCACGCCCTATTATATCTACTAATATAAACCCCTTAATAGGTTTATCCCTTAGGAATAATACCGGTCGTTATAGTCTAGGCTAAGGGTATCGACTATAGTAATAAGCGCGAACCTAATCTACTTTAGAACAACGAGCGCCGCCGCGTTATACTCGTCGACTTTAACCGCACTAACCTTCTCTTAGCTCTTAAATATAAATAGCTTTTCTATTTATCCCGGGATAAGAGGAAGTAGTAGAGAGACGGGTTTAGAGCTCGTAGTAGGAAATATAGCTTACTATAAGATTATTTATAAGTAGTAGAATAGCCTTTTATATCTTTTCCGTTCCTACTACTTAAAGCCTTACTACTCTAAACTAGCGGGACGTAAAGTTCTAGCTAAGTAAACTACTATAACTACCTAAAATTTCCCCTTAAGCGGACTAGCGTATATAATAAATAAGGCATATAATTATAAGTAATCGGGCAGCGACTCCGGTATTTATTAGCCCGGCTTCTATCTATATATTCCTAAATAACCTTTACTATAGTTAAGCGATAACTATAACCGCGCGGTTACTAGCTACTAAGGGATACTAGTAATAATATATAAATAGTTACTAGTACTAGGGCTAGGCGGTTACTAGCAGTATCTAGCGACTAGGAATAAGAGTCTAAAGGTAACTAGCACCTATAAATTGCCGCTAACCTCTAACTATAGGTAACTAGTAGCCCTAGGCTACTAGCTACTATACTAGGCGGTTACTAGCACCCGAGGCTCTACTCGGCTAACGCGGGGCCGGGATCGCTTATAGCCCGCTACTAGTAAACTCTAGCCGCGTACACCGCCTACGCGAAGACGAACGATAGTCGATACTATAAACGGTGCGTTCCGAGCTCGACCGACATCCTCCTCGAATAAATAGCACCGGAGGATTAGGGAGCTCTATTATAGAAGAGCCGGCTAAGGCCGTAATTATAGTAGGGCAAGGCATACCGCCCGCTCTAGCTCCTACGAAAAAATTAAGTCGTATTACGAGACGTAGTAGTAAGATTTAAGAAGCGACGAGATAGCTTAAAGATATAGCGGGTAGGATAAAGCGGAGCGCTAAGATTGCAACGCGTTTAGCGCTAGATATAGTTACGACTAATAATACGACCGAGCTATAGAGGCTTAGTAGTAGTAGCAGTAGTAGTAGTAGTATTAACGAAGGCAGGGCTATGCTTATTACTCTAGACGACCTTAGACCTACTAAGCGTATCCCGTTAAGGGAAAGGAGTAAGGGGAATAGGCTTATCTTAGTAAAACCTCGCTATTTTACTTAGACTCGGTATCTATCTCGAAATAGCTAGATCTTTCTATCTCCTTTTCCTACGCTACCTAACCGAACTTATCTACGATAAGCTCTTCGGCCTCTTTTAATGCCCGTTTACCTTAGAGATCGTTAATAGACGCCTAGGTTAGCTTCTAAATAACCTTATATTTAATAGACCTATTCTATGCCTTTCGTACTTCTACTAAGCGTAAGAACTCGTATTCCTAACTAGTATAAGTCGTAATACGCTTTTTTTAAACACGATATAAAGAAGTAGTAGTAGTACGTAGCGTAGACTTCCTCTTACGCCCGCTTTAACGCGGCTTAGTTACCTCGGACTTTTTATAGACCGTAATCGCTTTAGGAGGCGCTAACTATAGGGGTAATAGGCATTTAAGCTTAATTATTCCGTTCTCTATAAAATACTATAAGAAGTATATATATAGGTTATAGGTAAGAGCTTATAATACCTTAATTTACTAAAACGCTATGCTAACGTAGCTTAGTTTACTTATTAATAACCCTTTTATACTTAGAGAAAAGAGATTAAAGACGGTTAGCGTCTATTACTAGGCCCGTAGTAGGTGCTAGGGATCGCGCAATATATAAGGTTATCCCTTATATTTCTATCTCTAGGCCCGTCGACTTAACTAGGGGAGCGCTAAACTTAACGTTAGGGGTTTTATAGTTAGGCTCCGAGATAGTCTAACTAAGTTTACTTATACTTCCTAAGTCGCTACTAGAGCTAGAGTTACCGCTCCTTAAACTAGCTAGTAAGGGAGACGGAGTTAAGGACTAGAAGTTCTTAGTAACTATAGAATAGTAGAATAAGTAACCTTAGCTCGGAGAGGGCTAGCGGTATATCTTCTTCTAAGTTATTCGGTCTATCTTCTTAGTTATATAGGAAATAAAGATACGGAAGAAAAGTATTAGATAGTAAGGAAGCTAGGGAATCTAGGGAATCCGTAACCGTTTTATAAATAATCCGAGCCCTCTATACCCTTAGCTATATAAGTAATAAGAAGAGGAAGATAGGGGCTAGTTTTACTAAAGCTATTACCGTAATATATTAGGGCCTCCTCTCTAAGGCGTAGCCTTTCTACCTACCTTAAGTTATAGGCGGTAAGGGATAAGCTAGCGAGGCTAATAGGCCCCCCGTCCCTTTTCCGCTCTCTATACTCTCGTGTCTCGCCTCTTACTAGTTACTAGCCCCTTCGTCCTTTACTAATATCGCTTCTCCTATCCCCCCCGAGATAAGTTATATCGCAAAACTATAGTAGAGTAAGGGAGCAAGCACCTAATCTTAGTATATGCCGGACAAGCAGGTCGTCTAGATAAGACCACCGGACCACCCTTAATCTTAGTGCGTGCCGGACAAGCAGGTCGTCTAGATAAGACCACCGGACCACCTAACTTATAAACGTTACCTTTAGGTATAGTCCGTCGTCGGGAGCCCTAGTATAAGCCGCGGTGCGGAAAGCTATATACCTAAAACTCGTACGATTTAATATAGCCTATAAGATTAAGGAAGGATTATCCTATCTTTATATAGGCATAGGAATAGACCTAAGGTAGATAAAAACGGAGATAACGTCGAGCTATAAATTATAATATAGAGAGCTAGCGTACGTCGCGATTATAGTTATAGATTACGGGGCCTATATCGGTAGAATTCTTATTAGAGGACGGTCTATTACTATAATGCTAATTAAGGAGGCTTTACTAGCTAACGCCGGAGCAGGCTAGTATTCTATCGGTAGTCGTCTCGGGAGCACCGAGGGACTTTTAACGGAGCTAACGGATACGAGGGAAGGTTAGCTAGCCTAATCTCTATATATATTCGTATATAGTATACCTAGTAAAAGGCAAGGCAGACTTTACTATATTATCCGATCCTAGAATAGCGGATAATATTATAGCGGAAGCCCGTAGGTTATCGCGATTATAGCGGCAACTAAGTTACTAATAGGATCTAAGGATCTAGTAGGTACCGTAATCGCGTTAAGCTATTACTAGAGTATTAAGGTTAAGAGTTAGGGGAAACCCCGTCTATATCGGCGAGTAAAGGCCTATTCTATTTAGGGCGTTAAAGCAATAGGAGGAGCCCTTCCCTCCTCCTAAGCTAAGGTAAAGGACTAAAGGGATAAAAGATATAGCTAATAAAGCGGATATATAGAACCTAAGGGCATTAAGACTTAGCTAAAATATATAGAGTAGGAGTCGAGGGGGTCGTATAAGCGGAGTAGAGTTAGGCAAAGGAGGGGGCTATGTATTAGAGATAGCCGGCCGATAGGGATAACGGTGAGAGAAAGAGAGAGGAGGAAAGGGTAAGTTAAGCGGAAGGGGGGAGGGAGTGTAGGTGTTCTTATAGCAATCCCGTATACAGCGACGGGCTAAAAGGGGAAGGGGCTTGCCTAAAGCGGAAGGCGGTGGGGGGCGGCGGGGAATTTACAACGACCGACTTTACGGTTAGAAGTACTAGATACAGGGTATGTCCGCGCATATAATGAGGAGAAAGAGGTACCTGTAACAGAGTCCGGCAGGCGCGTCTCGTAGGACCTGCAGATGCTACCCTGAACCACCACCATTTTAGACTTATTTTCAACCGGTTATTAACGTTGAAGCCATCGAGGTTAAATTGAGTCTATCAACGCCAAGGTCAAGTTAAGTTAATTAAATTGATGCACGTGACTTCAACTTCAACAAAATTAAAGAAATTGAGGTTGACGTGGAATTGATTACCACCCTGCCGCCTGGCCGAGACTGCGACAAGCAGCATCATAGTCTGCACTGATAAACTAGCAGTGGCCACTTGTCTGCGAGGCAATCCAGCCGATTCATCGCAGGACAGGTTTACCGAATTTCAGGGCCTGATAAGGGCACACGGAGACGTGCAGATCCGCTGGATCCCAGGTCATGCCAACATACCAGGCAATGAGGAGGCCGACGGCCTCGCCAAAGCAGGATGCCTGCAACCCGAACCACCAGGGGCCATGCCATCCCTGGCGCACCTGCGTAGACTGGCCAGGCAACAATCGAAGGACGCTTTCAACACATGGTGGGCCGTCGAGGCGCCAGGGTCATACAGACCTCTAGACCTCGAAGCCACCACAAGTTGTCCTCTGGAGCTCACGCTGTCAAGAGCGACGCTCCACAACCTTCTTGCCGCAAGATCTCGGCACGGAGACTTCGCCGACTACCACGAGCGTTTCAACCATGACGATGCGAGTCTAGACCGCTCATGCGGACGACGCAAGACGCCAGAACACCCCTTCTACTGCAGAAAGATACCGCCTCGGCTCCGGATGAGGCTGATCCCCTCACCGGCCGAAGCGATACACCATGCGGTAGGCAAGGGCTTCAAAGCCTTCGTCGCGATGACATCGGAATGCTCCTTCTTCCAAAGGATCTGCCCGCGCTATTAGACAGAACTTACTCCTTTTTTCTCTCCCTTTTGCTTTGTGTTACTTAAGTCCCCGGTTACTTTACCCGGCCGGGGCCTCCCACTTAAGCAAGGCTCGCAGAAAGCGATAGCCTGAGCGGAAACCCTTTCTAGGCTCATCGCGAATGATAGGCGCCGATTGCGACTTCGGTTGCATGCAACTCCACATCTCGCGGACGGGTGCGAGGCTTAGACGAAACAGCGCCTTTGAGCCGTTGAGATGCTAGATAATGTTGTTTTAAGATAAAGTCGGGCGGCTTTATATAATAAACTCGTTAGCCTAGCACGTCCTTTGCCCTAATAGGGGCTTCAGCTATACGCTCTTCGGACGTTAAATAATTATAGGTTATAGGTTATAGGTTTTTAACCGGTTGTTAACGTTAAAGCCATTAAAGTTAAATTAAGTCTATTAACGCTAAGGTTAAGTTAAGTTAATTAGGTTAATATACGTGACTTTAACTTTAATAAAATTAAAGAAATTAAGGTTAATATAGGAATTATAGTAACCTATTATACTTATCTAGCTAGCTCACGTGCGCTATTACGTATACGGCTAAGGATAGCTAAGGCTATATAGCTAGCTTCGTGGCCTCCTCCCTTCCTAGAAGATTATAGACGATTATAATATACTAGTTACCTCTATTATCTATGCATGCATGCATTAAGACCTACTAACACTAATTAGTGATTGATTAAGTCAATCATAGATAAGTAAGGCAGCAGAGGCAGATCACGATCGTCGAAAGTGTTACTAGATCTTTATATCCTACGGGCTCTGTTCTGTTCTAAACACCTAAGAGGATTATCTATGCTAAGAATAAGGAATCTCTGCGTTTAGGCTGCTAAGTGATTTCTTCTAAACTATTAACTGATCTAGCCCTCGCTTTCGAAGACTAAAGAAGTAGCGTTAATTAATAGTACGTCTATAACGCATTGCCTAATAAGAATAAGCGTAAAGCCGATCACGATGTTAAATATAAGACCGACTGCCGATTCTATTACTGTCGCGAAGCGTGGCCTGATTTCGCAGTTCTCGGAGATATCCCTTGGCAAGAGGGACCAAGGAAGCTGAAAAACACCCGGTGTGGAAGAAGGAAGAAGGAGCTAAAAAGAGGTGCAGAAAGGAGGGTGGGGGCATGAGGGGAAGCAGAAGTGGCGATGGCTTCCTATGGAGGTGGCGAAGAGATAAGACGGATGTGCCGGCAACGGCTGGAAAGGAGGGGAAAAACCGGCAAAAAGCTCGGTAGTCGAAAGGACATTAGTGGCTTCTTTAAGCAGGATCTTCTTTGTTAATTGAGATGCTAGACGGGTATAAAGAGGGGCGTTAGATAGAGGAAAGAAGGACAATTAAGGAAATATAACAATCACTCCCCTACCTTTATTGCTGCCCCCGCAAGATTCAAACATCTCTGCCCTGCCTGTCCTACCCCTTACTCCCAATTTCACCTTCGTGCATTTTTATGCACTTCTCGCATCTCTCTTCGCGAGAGTTATGAGCCCGGGAGGAATAGTATTCCTGTACCTTCCGGCTGCTGCAAAAGGCACCTTTCTTGCATCCCTCGTGGCTTTATTTTACCCCTCTTACTAGAAAAGCCGATTTTAACCGACTTTTCTGCCCCCCCTCTTCTTCCGCAACGATGACGAAAACCGACTCCTCTGCCATCCCTACGGTCCGTAGGACGATTCTTGCAGAGCCCCAAGATTAGGATAAGTGGGTAAAGGAGCTACGGGCTCGTGTGGACAGAACCATCCACAATTTGGTCTTCTCTGACAAGCAGGACCCTCTTGAGCCCCTCTTCGTCCTAGGGCAACGGAATTTGCAGAGGGAGCTTCCTTCTTCTCCGAGCTAACCTCTGCACAACAGAGAGCTTTTTCTGCTGCCTTAGGTGACTACGAGAGTCACCGTAAGGAATACCTTTACGAGACGAAGTTGCTAACTGCTGCACGCACGGCGATAACGGAATCCGTTAGTGCCGCAAAGCTAATCACTCTTCGAGAAGAAGAGACTCCTAGGCAGTGGCTTTTAAAGCTCGAGACCTCGACAGCTCCCTCGAGAGGGTATATGACTGACCGTATTAGGAAGACCTATACGGCACACCTAGGAGCCTTTTCTGCTAGGAATCTGCTAGCTTCTTCGTGGCTAGCTAAGTGGGAAGAAATCAGCAAGCAGTCTTATTCCTTCGTGGCCAGCACTCGACCCAGACGGCTCGATCTGCTGCCCCTGCAGCTGCTGCAGCCCCTGTTGCTGCGGCTCCCGCTGCTGCAGCTGCGGCTGTTGCTCCTTCGGCTCCTCCTCCCTCGAGAGCATCAACACCGTCATCAACGGCTGCCCTAGGCCCGGCCCCGGCTCCGCCTCTTGCTCCGGGCCCGGCCCCGGTCCCGTCAGTCAGACCGGCCCGACTAGTCCCCCAATGGACCTTTCAGTCCGTTAGTCGAAAAATCAGGGAACTAGTCGAAATCGAACCTCGTCAAAATCAGCAACAAGGGGTAAAAAGGGGAGGTTTTCAAGCAGACCTTCAGGATCGGGACGAGGATTCCTCGAAGAAACGAAAGACCAGACGAAACGGCTGCCTAGCCTGCAAATCCCTAGGCCATCGATTATCACAATGCTGGCAGGTCTTCGAGGAAAACCGACCCGAAGGATTCAACCCTTCAAAGAGGCTACAAGAAACGATACAACAGTCTCTTAAGGAGGATCCCTCGTTGCAGAAGAAAATAGACGAGATTCGGGTTGCTAAGAAATAGCAACTAATAACGCCGCTACCCTTATTCGAGCCGCAAATTCGAGGAAAAATCGTTGGTATAGCAAATCCGGCCTTCGTCTTCCCTACGGATCAACAAGGCCAAGACCAACCGTTAGAACCCTCTAACTATCCCCTACGAAAATCAGCTATCCTTGACTCGGGTGCTTCCCTCGACATCTGCAATACACTCTCACGATTCCGGTCCTTTAAGAAGGCACGAAGGGAATATCTTATTGCCGGGGAATCAACCGTACGGATAGAGGGATACGGAAGGGTGAATTTCACGATGAAATTACCTAACGGATCTATACGAATTCTTCGAAGAAAAAGGGTAGCTTTTTGCCCTCGATTTTCAACGAGCCTAATTTCCTTCCGCCTTCTTCGAGAGGAAGGAATCTTCTAGGATACGACGTCTGAGCCTACGAGGCTAGTCCAGAAGAATCAGACCATCGGGCTTATCGAGGAAAAATTCGGTCAATTTGTTCTCGAATTCCGACCTATCCCTAGGAAGGAACCTCTCGAGAAGTCAGCTTTCCCTGCTAGGAGGAATAGGTCTAACACAAAGGACCCTCTTCCAGCAGCCCAAGGAGACGGCATTCTTTGGCACGCCCGACTTGGTCACCCGGGCCCCCTAGCTTTGCATAAGCTAGGCCAACAACAAGGCGTACGAATAAGGGGCCCAAAGACCGTCGAATGCGAATACTGCGGCCAAGGAAAGACTAGGAGACGAATTTCCAGACGAACGCCGTTACGGCCGGACCAGCCGTGTGAGGAAATTTGGGTCGATTGGACCGACGTCTCTAGGGATCAGGAAAGCTTCGTCAGGGTAATGTTTTTCACAGACGCTTTTTCAGGGATGGTTTTCCCCTATTTCTTACGGACCTACCTAAGCAAGCACAACTGGTCTGCCCTCCGGGACTTCGTTAACTGGATGAAATCCTACTTTGGCTACGAGGTAAAGAAGATACGGTCTGACGGAGAGCTATTTACGAAGGATATCTCAAATTGGCTTCGAAAAAGGGGCATTTTACCCCTCCCGTCAGCACCAAATACCCAGGCCCAGAACGGAGGGGCAGAAAGATCAGGGGGTGCTGTGATAGAAAGGGCCCGTACGATGAGACTTGCTGCAAGGCTTCCACACGACCTTTAGAGGGAAGTCGTTGAGACCGCCTGTTACCTACGGAACCGGACCCCGAGGGACCCCAAGGACCCTAGGGGACTAAACCAAGGAACAGACTGGAAATCCCCCCTCGAGCTCTTCACGAAGAAGAGGGCCTCGCTAGCCCACCTTCGTGCCTACGGCTGCAAGGCATACGCAATGACTGCCGATGCACAGCTAAAAAGGAAGAAGAAAAGAAAGCTTGATCCTAGAGCCTTTGTTGGTTACCTCGTCGGGTATAATTCTACGAATATCTTCCGGATCTGGATTCCTCTTCTACGGAAGGTTATTTCGACTAGGGATGTGATTTTCGACGAATTTAGCTTCTTCGACGGAAAGAGGGATCAACAGCCCCTCTTACACTCACAACGTCAGCTAATTCAGAAGATTCAAATCCCCCCTTCCCAACAGTCTCAAGAAGAGGTCCTAGACGAGGAAACGGAAGAAGAAACCGACGTCGAAGCAGTCGAGGATAACGCCGACTTCGAAGAAGAAGAAGAAGAGAAAGCTGCTAGATCAGATGATCTAGACGAAGAAGGAGACTATAGGAAAGCGGTAGAGCTAGAATACGCCTACCTCCCTACGCCTCCTCTTACGGAACAAGAAGAAGATCTAGAAGCAGCTTTTTCAGTCAGTCTTCCCGTCTCGACCCCTAAGGGGGTGGGAAAGGCACCTCTCTCGAAGGATTACCCGGCTGCCTTTTTATCCCTGCTTCGAGAAGCAAAGGAAGGTATAGGGCCCGATACGGATACTAATAAAGACCAACCTCTCCCCTATTTCGATCGTTTTTCCGACTTCTACCCAACGCCAATAGAAGACGGTTCCCACGGAGCGTTCACAGCAGGCCGGCTTTTCAAGCCACTAACAGCAAGGAAGGTACACAAAAGAGACCTCCCGGACCCACCAGCAAACCAGAAGCAGCTAGAAAGACACCCCTTTAGAGACTAGTTTTTCCAGGCCCAGAAAGACCACCTAGCCTCACACGAAGAAATGGGGTCTTTCGAAGAGGTCCTTAAGGAAAAGGCAAGAGGAAAACAGGTCCTTGGCTGCAAGTGGGTCTTTATCTATAAGACTAATAAACACGGCTTCCTTTAAAAGTGCAAAGCCCGGCTAGTTGTCTGCGGGAACCAACAGGAAAAAGGGGATTTACCTACTAGGGCAACCACCCTAGCTGGGATGTCTTTTCGAACCCTTATAGCTATAGCAGCAGAATTCGACCTCGAGCTCGATCAGATGGATGCAGTCAACGCCTTTGTTAACTGCCCACTCGAGGAAGAAGAAGTTGTCTATATGCGCCTTCCACCAGGCTTCCAACAGCCAGGAAAGGTTCTACGGCTCAGGAAAGCTCTATACGGACTACGAAGATCACCCCTTCTTTGGCAACAGCATTTAACAGGTTCCCTCGAAGCCCTAGGCTTCACGAAAGTCCCTCAGGAACCGTGTATAATGCAGAAGGATAAAATCACGGTCTTCTTCTACGTCGACGACATTATCTGGGCGTACCCGAAAGAGGAAGAAGCTGCTGCTAGGGAGGCTATACGAGGCCTACAACAAAGGTATAAGATGACCAGGCTAGGGGAGCCAAAGTGGTTCCTAGGGATACGAATCCTTAGGAATAGGTCCCAACGGACTATCTGGCTTACCCAAGACGCCTATATCGACAAGGTCGCTTATAAATTCCTCCCTAATTCCCTCGATAAGAAGCTTCCCTCTACGCCTATGTTAGACGAAGAGCTTTTGCCTGATCCGTCCTTTCAAGCCAGGGAGCAAGAGAAACACCAATATCAACAGAAGGTGGGCTCCCTGCTTTTTTCAGCTATTTCTACTAGACCGGATATCTCTTTTACGGTCTCCCGGCTAGCTAGGCACAACCAGAATCCTAGCCCTAGGCATCAAGAAGCAGCAGACAGAGCTATCCTTTATCTCTATTTAACGAGATCATATGGTCTGCGCCTAGGAGGGCAGGAAAGGAAGAAATTAGCTGCCGAAATCTTCCTCTGTTCGAGCGATTCGTCCTTTGCGGACAATTCCTTAGACAGAAAGAGCTCACAGGGGTACATTATGTCCCTTTTTGGAGGAACCATTGCTTGGAGAGCTTCGAAACAAGCTACCGTCACTACATCAAGCACGGAGGCAGAGCTATTAGCTCTTTCAGAAGCGTCAAAAGAAGCGATTTTCCTTAGCCGGCTACTAATATCGTTACGACTGCAAATTCCGTCCCCGTTAGCTATAGAATGCGATAACACGCAGACTATACGAATTCTTACGGAGGAAAACAGTAAGCTGTCGACCCGGCTACGGCATATCGATATCCACCAGCATTGGTTACGCTAAGAGGTCCAAAGGGGACTTATTTCCGTCCGTTGGGTTCCAACGGCATCGATGAAAGCCGACGGTCTTACGAAGCCCCTGCCGAAGCAGAAGCTAGCTGTCTTTTTACAGCAAATTGGGCTAGAAGACGTTCGAGAGAAGCTATCCTTAGAAGCCCGCCTTGAGAGTCTACGAGAGGAGCTAATGGCACGCAGGAGGAAGGAGACGTCTGCAGCCGAAGAGAGGAATTAGGACTTGTCCTAAAGGAGGGCCCCTAGCTTGACTGGGACTTGTTCTTCTTAAAGACCCCCTTTCTTGCAGGACTTGATTTCCTCCTTAGGCCCCTTTTCCTAAAGTAGGTCTAAAAGAGCCCGGGGCCAAAACCCGGATTTCTCGAGTAGGGGAGAAGTGCAGACTAAGACCTCCTCTATACGCTCACCAGCCCGAAGCCGTATTAGCTATGCCCTTAAGGGGCAGGCCATAGCTAAGGGGGTGTGTCGCGAAGCGTGGCCTGATTTCGCAGTTCTCGGAGATATCCCTTGGCAAGAGGGACCAAGGAAGCTGAAAACACCCGGTGTGGAAGAAGGAAGAAGGAGCTGAAAAGAGGTGCAGAAAGGAGGGTGGGGGCATGAGGGGAAGCAGAAGTGGCGATGGCTTCCTATGGAGGTGGCGAAGAGATAAGACGGATGTGCCGGCAACGGCTGGAAAGGAGGGGAAAAACCGGCAAAAAGCTCGGTAGTCGAAAGGACATTAGTGGCTTCTTTAAGCAGGATCTTCTTTGTTAATTGAGATGCTAGACGGGTATAAAGAGGGGCGTTGGATAGAGGAAAGAAGGACAATCAAGGAAATATAACAATCACTCCCCTACCTTTATTGCTGCCCCCGCAAGATTCAAACATCTCTGCCCTGCCTGTCCTACCCCTTACTCCCAATTTCACCTTCGTGCATTTTTATGCACTTCTCGCATCTCTCTTCGCGAGAATTACCGCGGAAGATATAGACGACTAGCTTAATTAGCTTAAAGACCTAATAAGGGATATAGCTATCCCTAAGACCCTATATAGACAAATTAACGTTAATATTTAGGAATAAGACGTTACGCTAGACGACGATAAGGAGGCTATTATAATATACGTCGTAAGGTTTCTATTAAAAGGATAATTTAATATATATCTTTAAGGATATAAGATCCTAAGTTACTTCTAAGAACATTTTAACGGGTAGATAAAAGAAATATAGGAGAATGCCGATAAGACCTATAGGAGAATACTGCGATAGCTCTTAAAGCGACGAGGATATATACTAGAAGGAGTAACGGCTCGATTATAAAGTAGTTTGTCTCCTTATAGACTATTAAAAACCTACTTAACTAGCCTATTAAAGATTTTAAAGAGATAACATTCGATAAGGGTACTAGCGTATATAGGAGGCAGAAGGTATTAGTACGAAGATCTCCTACCCTACACGGAACTACTGCTGCTACTGCTATACTAATAGCCTTACCGTAACCTTTTATAGCTACTTCGATTACCGCTATAGCACTCGAACCGAAGGATATAGAAGACCCCCTTTTAATATAAGCTCCCCTTCTAACTTTACTCCTAATAGTTAACCTCGACCCCTAGGCGCGCTTAACGGCTCACTTAATAACCTACCGGTTTAACTACCCGGAGATCGTCTAAGTAGTTACTATACCCGCTTAGCCTACTAAACTAAGGTCGTTAATAGCCCCGACGAACCCTATAACGACCCCCTTAGAGGCGTATATAAGGATCCCGCTAGATAAAGTCGTAAATAGGATCGTTAACGCCGAGCTATAATAGAAATTCGCTAAGCTCTAGGTTAGAGATAAGAACTATATAGGAGAACTATACGACCTTCTTAATAATAAAGTCCGGATCTTTATAAGTATATACTATACTCTTTAAGCCACGCCCGATAAATTCTATGCCCTCTTCCCTAGGATCCTTATAGGAAGAGCCTAAATATACTATATTAAGCAGATTAAATAGACCTTAACGTTTCGAAAGGCATACGATAGCATTAAATAATACTTTAACACGGAAGTTAACTATATCTACTATTATACTAACTAGACTATAATTACTTTTAATAAGCTCTATACCGAAAATACTAATAAATCCCTTTACGATATACTTTAATTGCTCTTTAATAAGCTTTAGTTATACTAACGAGCCCTTAGTAAAAACTACGTAGGAGATATCCCTCTACGTATAATGCTTATTAATATATGCCGTAGTATACCCGAACTCGAATATGCCCTCTTTAAACCTATAGAAATAATCGAGACGCTCTTTATAGATCTTCGATCTTCCGTTAAAACCTATCTTGCCCGCCGAATAGCTTCCTAATTTACTTAAGACACTAACGAATTATTTAATTATATAGATTTATAGCATTAGTACTACCTTAATCGTTAATATAATAATAACCGCGGATAAGGTAGATATAGCTACTTAGGATAACGACCTAATCGTAGATATAGGCATAGCTATAACCGTGAAAGCTATAGGCCCTAAGGCCGTAGTAATTACGGCTTTAGTTATACTAATCGCAATTAGAATAAGAAGTGCTTTATTTACGGAAAAGAAGCCTATTAGTTAACTAAATATATAGTAGAAGAACGGTAGAAGGCGAAGGATTAATATATCACGTATTATTACTTTATAGGAGTATAATTTATAGACTTTATAACCTATATTTTAGATTACGAAGGTTATAAGATAGACGGCCTTAATAATAACGATATATAGGAAGAAAACGATAACGGTACCGACAATCACCCCGAATAGTAGCAAGTAAGCTAAATACTCTATTAGCAAGCGTTTAACTATTTAATTACTAGAGAAGACGTCTACTAAATAGATTAAACTACTATTCCCGCTTCCTAATTTATTATTAATAACCGTTATTTAAAGGATAAATTCTAAGGCATTATAATTAATATAGGTGCAGCAAAAGTCTCTATAGCCGGTCACTCTTAGTATATTACTTTATAACGAGAAGACCCCTCTATAGCCCTAGACAGCTCTATATCCGGTTAGGCTACTATTAAATTTAGTAACGGCGAAGCTACTTACTTAGTTAGCTCTATCGCCCTTAAAACACTAGTCGGAAGGATCACGTTCTATATCCTTTAGACTCCTACCCCTTTCCTACTTTCTTTAGCCGATATAGACCGTCTTAGAATCTATTTTAATAATATTATAAACACTATTAAATTCTAAAGGTATATAAGCAAAAGCGGAATTTTAGGAAATTAAGGAATCACGTAAGACTACGTAATAGAGGGGAAGAAGGAGTATAAGGTAGGATTTTCAACGGAATTTATTAGTAGTATATTAGTATATAGAAGAGGTGTTAAAGTTAATAATTCTCTATCTATCTACTAGCGGATATGCTGTTTTATATAGATAATTATAGCTGAATAGAAGAACCTTTCGGGACTAGATTTAGGCTGCCGTATAGCCCTAAGACTAGGGAATTCCGTGATACCTCGAGTAAATCTAGAAGTATCTTGGTTCTACTAATATTCGTGTTTAAAGGAGGTTAGTCGTGCCGGTGTTCTTAAGAGGTCTTAGCTAGTATTCTAAGCTAGCTCTGTTCCTTCGATTCCCGATTATACGATAACCGGCAACCCGTTTAATGTATAATAACATGCAAAATAACGAGTGATTCTTGCTCTATAGGATAAGATTTTATCTATAATTAATATACTACTTATTAGCTTATATAATCGGGAGAGTATATTATAGCTGCTTTATTTATAGTAGGAACACCGTTCCTTATACGAATATACTAATTATTATACTAATAGTAAAATAAGTATCCCTATTACCTATAAATAGGGATATCCCTAGTTCTTTCTCTTAAAGGCTAAAGACTCTATCGCGTTTCTTATAAAGACTAAGATTCGTATACTTTACCGACGATTTAAATACCTAGCAGTCCCTAAGTTATATTACCTTTTAAAGTAAGCCGGCTATAGCGACGTTTCGATAGATATATTAGAGACTATTTCTAAGTTCTACTATTACTATTAAATGCACTTATAAGCCCTAAGACGCTTTAAATTTACCCTTAAGGATAACTAAGAATTTAACTACGAAATTATCGTCGATATAATATACCTAGGAAGTATTATAACTATAGCTACTAAGCTACTAACGGTCGACCGCGTTAAGCACGTAACACGGTCTAACGGATAAATAGTTAGCACGACTATTTAATAGATATAGGATCGAGGGGATCGTAGAGATCTAAGTAATCTAGGATTAATAGGATTACTACGCTCTATATAATCTAACGTTAGGGATTATAGCTAGGCCTATAATCTAAGGATAGTCTCTATAGGTATATATAGCTACCTACTTTTACTCCTTTAGATAGATAGCTCTCTAGCTTTTAATATAGATCTTTATTACGATTCTATCTCTAATTTTAATTACCTAGTTATAGTCTATAGTCTATAACCTCCGACTTATTACTAACGTAATATACTTATTATTACTTAGACCACGCCCTATTATATCTACTAATATAAACCCCTCGATAGGTTTATCCCTTAGGAATAATACCGGTTATTATATATTAAAAGCTCTTATTTAGTATAATACCGCGTTACTCTAAGTAATATTATAACTATTAATATACCTATATAGTAAACTAGATTAACTAACTCTAGAGCTACTATATCGCCTTAGGATATAATACGCGAGATTATTACCCTTTAATAAGAGGTATAGTTACTTAGGAATATAGGAGGTAACGGATAAGTTAGGGACCTTAGAGAAGTAGTTAAACTAAAATAGCTAGGACTATTTAACGGTACTTATAGCACGCTTTAAGACTTTCTTACCTAACTTAAGGCCTATTATTAGTTTTACCCTACTAAACTCTTAGACCTAGTCGAAAAGGTACTCTATATAGGAAATTATTTATCTAGAACGGCACTCGCTTAGTTTAGACCTATTATAAGGGACTTTCTCGATAACTAACTAGTATAATAAGATAATAAGATTATTAAAGTCTTTACTAGTTTCTAAGGATTCGAAGAAGCTATTATAAAGGTATTTAGAATAACTAATAAGGAATAAGAAGCTAAATAAAAACTTCGAGAACTCTAATAAAGGATCTTAGTATTAGATTATACTATAAAGTTCCGATAAGTTACCTTAAAGCTTAATTAGGACGACGAACCTCTTATATTACGATTCTATAATAAGCTTAAAGAAGAAGTTAAGGACGAACTTTATAAGGAAAATCGACCTAATAACCTCTCGGACTATATTACTATAGTAGTATAAATTAACGATAGATAGTATATACGACGCTAAGAAAAGAAATAAGGAAGAGGAAACTAGAACCCTTCTTATAGGAATAACTTTAACTAACGCGCTAACTATAAAAAAAAGCGCGAAACTCCTATTACCTATACCTATATAACTAACCTAAGTAAGATAGACCTAAAAGTAATATAGAAAAGTAAAGGAAAGTATTTTAACTATAGGAAACTTAGATATTACTTTAAAGAATATAGATAACCTTATAAGGAGAAGAAAACCTACTAAGTACTAGCCTTAAAAGGTAAGAAATACTTAAACGCTACTAATAAATAGGAACTAAAGTATAAACTCCTTAGTTAGACCGTATACTACGACGATAAATATATAGTATACTTAAGCGATAAGAATAGTACTAGATAGTTCTTAAAGCTACTAAAGAAGACCCTTATAATAATATAACGAAGGGATCTTAAAATATAGAAATAAGTTAAATTCGTAGAACTAAAATACCCTTATCTTAAAGGAGTCTCTTAAGACTAGATTAGGAAAAACGGTAAACGATTCTAGAAGGATATACGAAATAAAAATCGATAATAATAACGGGTAGTCTATAAGTAATATAATAAAGAAGATATAGATATAGCTCTTATACTTATAAAACTTAGATAATAACTTAAAGAGGAATAACGAAGTATCGACGATATAAGCTTTAAAGAATAAGAAATACTTAGAGAAATAGAAGATAAGAACGAACTTATACTACTACCCTTATTACTAAGGGAAAATACTACGATTAAAGAATACGCTCTATACTTTAAAGAATTTAAAGAAATACTTAAAATTAGAACTTAATAAATACCTTAAATTCTTACGGAAAACTAATAAGCTATATTAATTCGATATTAACCGGTACTATATAAAGGAGACTATACTATAGCTATCGCTATAGTCGATACCTTTATAGCTCTATAACGAGAATAGTAACTATAAGGAGAATTTAAAGACGATCTATAAATACTACTTACTTATAAGTACTATAAGTATATTTTATAGATATTATACGTTTACCTAGATTATATAATATACTTCTAGATAAAGGTATAATACGACGCCTTCTTAGTTAGGTTTAAAGGATAAGTACTTTCGAAACCCTACCTAAGTATAAAACTAAACTACTAGAAAATCGATTAACGCTACTTAAATAACTAAGTTATATTATTAAAACCTAATTATAGCACGCTACTTAAATACCGCGATAATTATAGTTTATTAACGAGATATCTTTTAAAGATATATAAAATCTATAAATACGCTAAAATAAAGGAATAGTATAGCGCTACTCGCTTTAAGGTATCTAAACTATTAATCTTTTAAAGACTTATATAACGAATTAAATATAATAAAGAAGATTATAATAAATACGTATACTTAAACTATAGAGTTTATAAATATAAAAAAGTATAAGTATAGTATAAACGATATAACGGTATACTAAAAGATTACTAGTAATATATATAAAGGCTATAGGCTATATTTAACTAAGGAAAAATTAACGTAGATAAACTATATATAAAATAGAAAGATATAGAACGAAAACTCGACCTTTAGTATAAAAATAAATAGAATTACAATATAAACTATATAATTAACTATAAAGCGACTTAGTATAAACGATATAGCGTTAAGAAATAAGAAATCTTTAACTAGTTATAAGAAGTTAGCCTCTTAAGTTAAATAATAACTTAACGCAACGAAAGAATAAAGAAACGATACTAGTAATAAATTAAAGAAGAATATATAGACGAAATAAATAAGGACTAAGTAAAAAACAAGGTATGCTATCTATAAAAAGGCTATAGACTAGTATAATATAATAAGATCTAAGGACCTTATATATAGTAATAGTAAGCTATAGTAACTAAATAGTATTAAATATTTAAATCGTAGGATATTACGTATATATACTTTTAAACTATAGCGTAATAAGCAATTATATTTTACCTAGAGTCGTTAATCGTTACCGACTTATATAGAGATATAAGAAAGATCTATATAAAC